TTTTTTGCCTGTATTATCGAAAGATTCATTATTTATACCTTTTGGGGAACATAGCTTGACCCAGGCAAGAGACGGATGTGCCCAATGAATCCAGGAGTCAATGTTGGTTAATTAAAGTCAGCTGACAAATTTTACTGGAGATAAAGTTTTATAACAGGCATATGAAATTTGAAAAACAGATTAATTCGGTAGTAAAATCTTGTTTTTTACATTTAAGATTAATAGCAAAGGTGGAAGCATTTCTGTCCACAAGTGACTTTGAAAGGATTATTCATGCTTTTATTTTGGTACGATTGGATTATTGTAACTCGCTATATGTAGGTGTCAGCCAAGTAGCCTACTATTGAATCGGCTTCAATAGGCTTTATGCACAGCTTTACTTCCTGAACTTCAGCCAGCCCTTTGTTTCCTGTCTGTCATTATTGGACAAACTGATTAATCCAGCTGTGCCTGGCCTCAGTAACAATAATCAGGCACACCTGTATTAATCAGTTTGTCCAATAATGACAGACAGGAAACAAAGGGCTGGCTGAAGTTCAGGAAGTAGTAAAGCTGTGCATAAAGCCAATTGGTTATGAATGCGTCTGCTAGACTTTTAATGGGGACTCGCAAAAAGTAGCATGTAACACCAATTTTAGCCTCACTAAATTGTTTGCCTGTGCAGTTCAGAATTGCTTTTAAATTATTGATTTTTGTTTACAAAGCGTTGCATAATTTGGCCCCACCATATCTAGTGGATCTCCTTCATATACATAAACCTTCTCTCTTAGATCAGCAAATCAGATGATCCTGTAGAGGCAGATACAAGCTCACACATCATGGATCTGCTGACATAATTCACTCATCACCGACACACATGTATATTGGACATGTCCCCTTTAAGAAGACGTTCATGAGAGTTTGGGGGTGGTTTAATGCGCGTTTTTTCTGACGCATGAGTTCATTAAAAAACACAACTGTTGTTGTTCTGACACCGCAATCCTGCCTCCGTGTATTTTTGATAGCACAAAAGCTACATTGGTGACCCCGATACAGAACAATTAACGTACGATGTCGACGAATGCTGTATCTCTGAAGCTGCCGGAGTTTTGGGAGCAACAAGCGGCCGTGTGGTTCGCTCAAGCCGAAGCTCAGTTCGCATTGCGGGACATAACCGCGGACGACACGAGATATTACTTGTCGTGGTTGTTGCAGCCCTCGGCAACTCCACGGCCGCGCGAGCGATCAGCATTCTGGAAAACCCCCCGGATCTGCATAAAAGACTTTCAGTTTATCAGAGACTGAAAGAGCACGTCGTTTGCTCTCACTGCCAGGCCTCGGAGATTCCCGGCCATCAGAGTTGATGGATCACATGCTAGCGCTGCTGGGTGAGCACAAACCATGTTTTCTGTTTAAAGAGTTGTTCTTACAACAGTTACCACAGAGCGTTCGTACCCCTTTGGCAAATAGTACAGTGACTGACTACAGAGAACTAGCACAACTGGCAGATGTTTATCAGGCAGCATCACACAAGTGTACAACTACTGAGTCAGTGGCTGCGTCTGTATACCCGGTTATGAGAGCTGCAGCACAACGGGCAGATGAACGACCAGCTTTTGCCGCGCGGCAATCACCGGACCAAGGACTATGTTATTTTCACGCCCGTTTTGGGGCGAAAGCCAAAAGGTGCCGTCCACCATGCACGTTCAAGGGGAGCCATAATACCACACCTACAGTCAGTAGCATAGTAGCTAACGACAACGCTTACCTACTGTTCGTCACTGACTCATTATCTGGCCGACATTTCCTGTGTGATACAGGGGCGCAGGTCAGTGTTCTCCCCGCATCCCCGGTGGACAGACGCTTGGGTGAAGCTGGCTCACCGCTCGAGGCGGCCAACCAAGGCAAGATACGCACCTATGGGAAACGGCTAATACCACTGTGCTTCAATGGACAACGCTTTACATGGGAGTTTGTCTTAGCGGATGTGAGTAGGCCTCTCCTGGGCGCAGACTTCCTGTGCACTAATGGACTGTTGGTTGATGTCAAAAATTGCTGTTTAGTCACGGCGGAAGGTTTTAATGTCTTACCCTGTTCGAGGAGCACTTTCCCCACAACCACCCTGTCTAGTGCATTGACAGGCGAGTGCGGGTTCGCCCAGCTTCTCAATGAATTTCCCAATCTCACCAAGCCCACTTTCTCCTCAGCACTGGCCAGTCATGGGGTCGTTCATCATATCTCTACATCCGGGCCGCCAGTTTATGCCCGGCCCCGTCGACTAGATCCAGTGAAGCTAGCAGTTACAGAGGCAGGAGTTACACTGATGTGTGATGTCTCCAGGGGCTACCCTCGCCCAGTGGTACCTGGACAGTGGAGGCGAGCTGTTTTTGACAGAGCCCACAGTTTGTCACACCCTGGACGGAAAGCTTCACAGAAACTGGTCTCTTCAAAGTTTGTGTGGCATGGATTGAAGAAGGACATCCGAAACTGGGTCTCGGCTTGTGTAGCATGTCAGCGATCTAAAGTACAAAGACACATCAAGGCACCACTGGAAATTTTCGAGGTACCAGAGCGACGTTTTGACCACGTCAACGTCGACCTGGTGGGACCACTGCCACCATCCCGGGGGTTTACTCATCTTCTGACAATGGTGGATCGAACCAGCAGGTGGCCGGAGGTGGTACCTTTGACCTCAACGACAACAGCGGATGTAGCACGGGCCTTCATTGACACTTGGGTTGCACGTTTCGGCACACCATCAGACATCTCTTCAGACCGCGGCCCCCAATTTACACTTGATTTGTGGACAGAGGTGGCTCGGATTCTTGGAGTGCAGCTGCACCGTACTACAGCATTCCATCCACAGGCAAATGGCCTCTGCGAACGCTTTCATCGCTCTCTGAAAGCTGCGCTAAGGGCCAGTTTGACAGATGACAGATGGACAGAGCGGCTACCCTGGGTTCTGCTGGGCCTTTGGACGGCTCCCAAGGAGGATCTACAAACTTCTTCAGCAGAATTGGTATACGGTCAGTGTCTGCGGGTCCCGGGAGATTTCATTCTAGACAGCACAAAGCCCTGGAGTCCATCTTCTGAACGCACTGCCCTCTTAGACAGGATCAAGGCTTTCAAACCTCTACCTACATCTCAACATGGACTGGCTGTGGCTTGGGTTCCCAAAGACCTTTCTGAGGCTAAGTTTGTATTCATTCGTCATGATGCTCATCGGAATTCTCTGCGACCCCCCTACGATGGACCGTTTCGGGTTCTGGACGCTGGAGCCAAAACCTTTCTAGTCGATATAGGAGGACGCCCAGAGCGCGTGACTGTTGATCGACTCAAAGCAGCTCATGGGGAGCCAGGTCAACCGATGGTTCCGGCGCAGGCTCCAAGGAGGGGTCGTCCAGCCACCAACAAGGAAGCAGCCTCCAAAGCGGAATCTCAGACTGCGCGAGAGGTTCAAGATGCTGCCGATTCGCGGCATTTCACACGTTCAGGGAGACAAATTCGAGCTCCTAGCAAGCTGCTGTTGCCGGTGTTGGTGAATTCTGGGGGACCTGTGTAGAGGCAGATACAAGCTCACACATCATGGATCTGCTGACATAATTCACTCATCACCGACACACATGTATATTGGACATGTCCCCTTTAAGAAGACGTTCATGAGAGTTTGGGGGTGGTTTAATGCGCGTTTTTTCTGACGCATGAGTTCATTAAAAAACACAACTGTTGTTGTTCTGACACCGCAATCCTGCCTCCGTGTATTTTTGATAGCACAAAAGCTACAATCCTAGACATTCCAAGAACTAGATTAAAATTGAGTGGTGATCGGGCTTTTGCTGTGGCAGCTCCAACGCGCTGCAATAATTTACCTTTTGTAATATTCTGGTAAGCACTGAATATTTGCAACACTGATTTACTGGGGATTATGGGGATTAGAGCACATGGAGATGGGTGCACGTTAACGAATAAAGGTTCCAAGTTTGTTCGGTACTCGCTGTACGTCTCCTTATTCATGACTGCACGCCCTGTGCAATATAAAATAGTAAACGAGAACAAGACACCTTTACACCTTAGACTTGCTCCCTCTTTAAGTTATTTTAAGCGAAATTTAAAATTGTATTGGCTAGAATTAGCGTTTGGATCAGTAGGTTCATTGGTAAGAAGCTCTTCAGAGATGTTTGTTTGTCATTGTATTGTTTGAAAATACATTTTATGTATGCAATTTTATTATGTGTTTGTACAGCACATTGGTCAACATCACGTTGTTTTAATTGTGCCTTATAAATAAAGTAAATGAATGAAATATGAATGAGAAAAATATTCTTTCCGATGAGAGAGTGATGATATTTCAGATATTTCTACATGATTATTTTTGAACTTGATTGTCAATAAAAGCTGAGACAAAGTCACTAGGCTATATCTGATTTAATATTAAACTTTAAGTTAACAGATCTCCAGTGACTATTTCTATAAAACGACAAATATTTGTCAACTTTTTATAAAAATAAATAAATAGTAGGCCTAGCCTATAATAAATGCTCATTTCAGATGGACTATTTTTAATAGGACAAAACTGATCAAGCAGTGACAATTTTCCAAATATGTGTGAGCAGCTGCCTACACCTGTTTTCCCTTTTCTGTTATTAATCTCAGTTTATGAATTTACTATTAAAAGCAGATTATGATCATCTATGAACAGTTTGAAAAAGGGCCCTTAAACTCCTAAAATTATGGTTATTCTGAATCATTTTATCTAAAAAAAAAAAAGCTTTTTAAATGAATGCCATTTTATTCTATAAAGCAAAGTGCTTTAGATTTGTGCAGAAATCATTTTCTTATTTATCACAAAAGATAACTTAATTGCTTTTCTAAACTAACTATGGGATGTTTCATTTTGAGACTGTTGTAAAACTCTTCCATTAATGAAAAACCTCACTGGAGAGCATTACATTTTCACTAACGTCAGACAATAACTTATTTATTCTTAAAACTATTGTACCAAAATACGGCAGGTAAACTGAAGCTCTTTTCACAGATACCATGGGCGGCTCTTAAAAGAGCCTTTGTGTTGTGTTGAGCGGACTCGCTCTACTTTGAGCTGGTGTATTTGGTCACAGCCTTTGTGCCCTCAGACACGGCGTGTTTGGCCAGCTCTCCGGGCAGCAGCAGACGCACGGCGGTCTGGATCTCTCTCGATGTGATGGTGGAGCGCTTGTTGTAGTGAGCGAGACGAGACGCTTCACCGGCGATGCGCTCGAAGATGTCGTTGACGAAAGAGTTCATGATTCCCATCGCCTTGGAGGAGATCCCGGTGTCGGGATGAACCTGCTTCAGGACTTTGTACACGTAGATCGCGTAACTCTCCTTCCTGGACTTTCTGCGCTTCTTTCCGCCCTTACCGGCGGTTTTAGTGACGGCCTTCTTCGAGCCCTTCTTGGGTGCAGACTTCGCTGGTTCAGGCATGATGCTTCAGTCAGTGAACCTCAAGCACAATAAAGCTGTGTTTCTACAGGCGGGGCTTTATGCACTGCTCTATGCTAATTTCCAAAGGGAGGTACAGCCTTCTCTGATTGGTAGTTTTCCTGGACCAACCCATAGAATGATTTCATTGGCCACATTAAATGTTCCTTGACTTGAAGGACAGCCAATCACAGGCTTTAAATGTTAATCCCGCCCATCGCCTCATGTCCTACTACCATCCCCCATTCTATCATCAGGTTTCTTTGTTTCATTTTCCCGCATTTTTCGGAATGCACTACTGTACTAGATATTGTAAGTAAAATATTATTACAGTTTATCACAGCAAAGAATGCAAATGAAGTGTTGCACAGGGTGTGAAATCTCGGTGCCCTTTGGTTGCTTGGGATAATTAAGCTCAACAAAATAATACTCCTAGACACTCAAATTGTGTAGAAAAAAAGTTAAGCAGCCTTTTAATCATAGCTTTTATAAAAAAAAAATTGGCGACAGAGACCTACGCGGTTTATGCCTTTGTCATGGTGTGTATTTAATCAACTTTTAATTGATTAAACATTTGATTGAAAAAATATATAGAATACATACTTAAATACAGCTAATATTACCATTAATTTCCACATAACGTCTTTATCACTGGTTGAAAAAAAACAACTAATAATCACGTTAAACTACTTTTAAAATAATTTATAACCACTTGGAAGTTTGTTCTTTGTGTGTAAATGTGGGTGGCTCTTAAAAGAGCCGTTGGGTTTTTCTTCGTGAGTCTCTTAACCGCCGAACCCGTACAGGGTGCGTCCCTGTCGCTTCAGCGCGTACACAACATCCATGGCGGTGACGGTCTTTCTCTTGGCGTGTTCAGTATAAGTCACAGCATCACGGATGACGTTCTCCAGAAACACCTTCAACACACCGCGCGTCTCTTCATAGATCAGCCCAGAAATACGCTTGACGCCGCCACGTCGAGCAAGACGACGAATAGCGGGTTTAGTGATTCCCTGGATATTATCGCGAAGAACCTTTCGGTGACGCTTAGCGCCTCCTTTCCCGAGTCCTTTGCCGCCTTTTCCTCTTCCAGACATGTCGACAGATATACTTAAATTCAACACAACACAATAAAGAAAAAACGTTTAGAGAAGAAGTGTTTATAGTCGGCTAGCGGACCTAGTTGAAACCAAATTCATGGGTGGTTCTATTAAACGTCACTCGACACGCTACTCTCCAACTGGTGCTCAGCAAATGACATGTAGGTCCACCTCTCTTTACGTCATGGGTTGAGTTTGACGTAGTTCAGCTCCACCTCTGTGGATCTAATGGCTGGAGGGATATTGTGTGTGGGTGTGGTTGGACCGTCTAACTTCACCCATTACGGTCACTTGCCCAAATTACATTCAGAGAAGAGCTGGATCTCACACTCCACCCATGAATCTGCAGTGAGAAGACTCTCCTACAGTCCTTCGAGTTTTCCTTCAAAGCATGGTTTTAAAAAACACACACTTCAGGGAACAAGCACTGTGACATCACGTTCTGCATACTATTTATGGAAATATTAGTGAGTCAGTTATTTATTTAATGACCAAGGAATTCCTTTAAATATGAATAATTTTTGTCACATTATAAAATCCCAATTACAGCAGAGGAATATGCTATTGATTTTGGAGCTATCCCTTCTGGGATTGTTATGTTTATGAAGGGATTTAATAACAAGATACAATATAACAAGATACAAAAAATTATCTGATACATCTGTTGGTAAATGATCTCTTGCCACCAAATCAAACAACAGTATTCGTGCTCTGATCCAGAAAGATGTTGTCTCTTGCCTGAATGCCATTTTTTATTGAAACAGAGATATAGGGGAAATTAACTGGGCTAGGCTTTGCCACAAAAATTATTTTTGTACAATAAGATCAAAGAAGTGTCTTATAAAATGATACACCGTTGCTATCCCACAAAATGTTTTTCACAAAGGTTTATTTCTGACGACTTTGATGTAAATTGCACCTTCTGTGGTCTCTAAACTGAAGATTTATCTAATTTATTTTTGTATTGTGAGTATACTACGATTTTTGGGAAAACAATGTTTTATTGTGTGTGGTATAATTTCTGAAATCTCATTGAAATATGAAAATATTATTCTGGGTTGTTTACATTGTGAAAGAGAACAATCAGATGTTTTTTTTTATCTCAATTACAGATGCATCTGTGTGAGCAGTAATCTGGGGAAGATGTTCTGCAGCATCATCAACACAAGACTCGTTCTTTTCCTCACAGAGCACAATGTCCTGAGCAAATGCCAGATTGGATTCTTACCAAATTTTAGAACATCAGGTCATATCTTCACCCTGATAAATACATCAACCAAAACAAAACGAAAATATTCACTTGCTTTAGATTTCCAGAAGGCCTTTGATTCGATTTGGCATGAAGGCCTTGTGGTGGCAATTTTAATGATATTCATTTATCTTTAGTAAAATATAGATGATTCAAAGAATGTCACATGTGTGTCTCTCACTTGTAGTGAGAGAGGATTCTGTTTATGTACCTGGGGAGGCAGAAGAGGGAGACACTCCAGAGAACAGACGAACAAGGACCTCTGACCTAGATGTCAGAAGGCCATTTGGTGCAGGGGAGCTTAGTGGGCCAACTAGTGACGTCTATGGAAAACTACTGGGAGGAAGGCTCTGGGGGGAAGAAGGCCTTGAAACTAAGATAAAAGCTAGTTCAGTCTGTCTGGGGGTGTGTCACTCTTCTGCACAGGGTAACAACTGTGTATTAGACTGCTCCTATTCTTGCAAGAATAAATACTTCTATTTTATATAGATTGACTCTGAGTGTCTCTTACGCAGTGATGTTTGTTTGAGATGAATTTGTGCCACAACAGCCTTCTTTCTAAACTTCTAGAATCAGGTATCGGGGGCAAAACATACAACATTATAAAAACAATGTACTTGTAAGGCTGGTGCCGGTATGTCTGATCGACCCCTCAATGTGACAAAAGGCCCTCCTGGGAATTAACACTTGAACTATCTCTTGAATATGTAACTCCCTCTTGCATATGTAACAGGAACTTTGGAGACGCAGCACACAATGCAGTTCACACTTCACCCACACTATCTTCCCCACATCCCCCTCCTCCTCACCTGAAATACAATGAAACCTTATGCAATGTTATGTGTGTACAAAAATGTAACTACTCATGTTTGGTATCTTTTAATGTGTCACAATGTGCCTGGTGACATGGTCTCATTCTCCAAACTATGATGAAAAGCTAAAAGAAGTTATGGAATGTGAGAAAAGTGATGTGTCCCATAATAGCCTCATTCAAACTACCTCCTGTATGTAAAATCAGGCAGACCTCACAGTGTGAGCCCCTGAATAGACAACCAAAATCTAATTATAATGACAGACATCACCATTTGGTAACAATTGAATTATCTGGGTATATAAGGGAAAAGAGCAGAAAAGTTCGGGGAGTCTGTAGGTTGACTGCCCGCACAATCGCTGTGTGTAACTCTATTGACAGGTAATAATTATTACAAATTCTGTGATTTCGGAATCATTGTGATGAAATGTTTTAACTGACGATCTTATCCTTTTGAATTGGATTTTGAATTATTGCTTCATTACCTGATCAATAAATTGTAAACGTTTGATTTTTTTCTGAGTGACTTTGAAAGACTGTTTATTCCCCAGATTATTGGATTCGTATATTTCCACATCTTTCGCGTCAGTTTAGCGACGGCTAATATTCCGATACCATTTTACGTGTATGTTACGTCCCGTATTATAAGGACGGTTGGACGTGGAGTTTATTGATGTTAAAAGGAAACCAGCCCCGGCCGACAGATCACCAAAGACACAAAACTAGGTTCCAATAAAAATATAATTTATTTTTATAATGGAAATAAATGATTAAATTAAGGAGTAATGGCTTCAGGGTGCCCCAAGGCCAAAATAATAAACAAAATAAACTTATAAACAAACATACATAAATTACCTAATCAGGGAGTAAATCAAATTACAAAGTAACTTCCCTAACTCCCTATAAATAAACAAATCGCAAACGAAGTCAAATTAAATGGCAGGACACCCCTACGCTCCTAAATCATACAAACAAAGTCGAAGTAAATCATCAGTAACACATAATCATAAAGTCGAAGGGTTTGGGATCTGTCGACGGGAGGAGGAATCCGGAGCTCCTAACGCCACGAGGCCAACGCCAGAATGAGCTCCCCATCTTCATCTTCTTCTTCTTCTTCTTCTTCTTCTTCTTCTTCTTCTTCTTCTTTCTTTTAATGGCGGTTGGCAAACAACTTTTAAGTGTGCATTACCGCCACCTTCTGATATGGAGTGTGGATCACAATAGCCTTTCCTCACTACCTTTAAATAAATATATAAATAAATACATACATCCATAATAAAACCAATAAATAACTTCATAAATATTTAATAACATTATTAATATTCATACATGATCATTATTATTAAATACAACTTTCTAAGACAACTCAACTCATATTCTTCTACTAAGTCCTGTTTTACTCAAAAACACAAATATCGCTCTATACCCTACATGTCCTGAATTCATTTGTAATATTTCCTTCATTTCAAATCTAATTTTTTCTTTTCTAAACCAGTTTTTCAGCCTCATCCTTTCCTCCTTATACTTATGACAATTTATAATAACATGTTCTACTGTTTCATTAATATTACATACCTCACACATCCCGTTTTCATGTTTCCCTATTAATGTAAGCGTACTATTCAATCCAGTATGCCCAAATCTCATTCTTGAAATAATGTCCTCTTCCCTTTTATTCCTATTATTTTCTCTCATACCTCCTACCCTCTTTTGGATACTGTAATACATTCTTGCTTTTATTTCTTTATTCCACTCCTCTTGCCACTTCTTTCTCATTTCTTCTTTGATTATGCTTTTAACTTCCGCCTTACTATAACTTATTACCATATCTATCTCTGTTCTTTTGGTTGCATTT